AATTAAAAGGCATAAAATTATAATATTTGGCTGGTGACTTCCCGGGATAGAGCTCACCAAAGTTTGCAAATGAAAATGACCTCAACCTACTTTAGAGGTCATAGAGGTCAACAACATTTTAATGGATTTGTTCTTGAGAACTAAAAGGAATGGATTCATAAGATTTGGCTGGTAGCTTTTTGGAATAGAGCTAACCAATTTGAGAAGGAAAATGACATTGACCTACTTACAAGATCACAGGGGAAAATATGTCAAGCAACTTCTGAAGAAGAATCAAAAAGCATAGAATCTTATAATAATATTTTGCTGGTAGTTTCAACAGTTGGAGCCAACAAAGTTTGCGAGGGAAATATTTATAGTGCAATATAACATTTAATGAGAATATTTTGCTATGACTGCTTTAATATTCAGGTGAGCGATACAGGCCCTCTTGGGCCTCTTGTTAAATGTATTCTTTCATACATTCATGCTCATCCAGTTTGTTTTTTAAATCAAACTTAATACAATGTACTTTGTTACAAATTGTATCTCAAATTTTCTTATCTCTATCTTATTCACAGAAAACCAGGATTGGAATGATAGTAAACAACTTCCGAAAAGCATCGAAAGATGAAGATGTCATAACTGTTTCCAAATCACTAATAAAAGGCTGGAAAAAACTACTACCGGCAGGAGGTATTTATATCAATGGGTTTTTGACTGGTGCTACTTGAATTAATATTGAATGGTTTCTGTCCGTGTGTTTGTATCAGACAGTTTCTGATTGGAACAAGCTGTAGTTATTTATGTCTTAAAAGTTCTGATTGGTACAAGCTGGAGGAAATCTGTATGGGAGGAGATCGAGTAATCATTATTTATGATGATGATCATAATTACATTGGAAAATGTTCTATTTCCTTGTGTGATATTAATATCAGTATTTAGATTATATTCATAGTGCATAGATGTTTTCTTGCGACTAACCTGGTTCGTAATGTGACATTATTGAATTGATACAGATTAACATGGCAGGAAGATGCTTACATAATAACCCTCCCAGAACCTCTCGTCTTATCTCCTTTGTATTTTTTCAAGGGTCTTAGTTTATATTTTATTTCAGTAATTTCTATGTCCAAAGTTTTATTGGTGTTGAGTTATGGTTTTGTTTTCTGTATTGTCTTTAGTGTGGTGCAGAAGGACGTTTTATCGTCTGTTGTTGTTACAGAGAGTGGTTCATCACAAGGGGCTGCCAAAAGTGACAGCAGGAAGGACAGCAGTAATGGTGACACCCAGACAATGACACAAAGTGGAGGCGACTCGCCATCTGCCGAGCCACCAGAAAACATGGACAGTGCCTTGTCCTCTTGTACAGCAGCACACACCTCAGACCCCACACGCCTCAAGTGTCGAGAACTCCTAGCTAATGCATTGAAAGTCACAGGTACAATATGCTGGGTTGATTATGCATTACGTTTTGTTATTGCGATAGAATTGGTTCAAATTCTGTTGTGTAAACAAGGTCTTTGTTAAAAGTGTTCGGAAACACATTCAAAAACACATAAGTATCGGGGTAAGACTTATTATTTTATCACTTGCTACAGGTGTTTGCTTTTGTATTCCAAAGTAGTTAAGAATTCATGAATTTCACATTCCATCAATTTTTTTTCAATTTCATTTTTACATTGCCTTCCATAGGTTTGTCATGGACAGTTTAAAATAGTTCAATTTTGATATTAATTGTTGATATGGTCTTATTTCCGTTGAGTAAAGTTATTTTGACAAAATCAATAGTGTAGCAAAGAATACCTGTAAGTTAGTCTACAGTTCTTGATCAACCTGGTATATATATTTGCAGAGGAACAGGATAATTCAAAATTTGACTTAAGGATGTATGCTACTTTACCCTGAGTGTCACCTTCTTCCCAAAACAGTTTCGGATCCTCACTAAAGAATCTGTACTTTTTGTGAGTGTTAATCTGTGCAAGTCTAAATCATTAGTTGACACAGTAAGGAAGATAATTCCAACACAAAATTCCCAAATAAAATATGTAAAGTAGCATATATGCTTAACCCTTTCACCCCTAGGTAACTTTAGTAGACTCTCCCATGCATTGATCTGGATTAGTCCATTATTGTCTACAGTGGCGAAAGGGTTAAGCACATTTTGTTATATACCATAAGGATGTTGTGTTTGCTTCTTCTCTTCCAGATGACTCAAATACAGGTATAAGTTCAAAAGCCTGGTGGTAACTGGTGTTTAATAACAGACTTAAAGACACACATTTAATCATCATCATTTAGCTATTTTTTTTCAAAGAATTATGTTTTGTTTTAGCCAAAAGCTTTCTAAAGCTTTTATTCTTCAGTATTTTCTAATGATGTTGATTTGAAGGCAGTCATAGCAACTAATATCAGATACTGTTACAGTCTAAGATATCTCATGAAACTTAAAGGATACCTCCATCACCCACAGTGAATGTGCAGTGCCCTGAACACCACAGTGACCCTCACATCAAGTTCAAAGGTCAAATAAGTGCAAAATATCAAGTAAATTCTTGTTTGGGTTGAAACTTTAAGCTTTTAATGATATGATATCTTGATTAAACTTGTATTAAAGAATGCCTGTATCGAGTACAGAAAGTGTGTATTCTACTGTAAATAGGTCACATGACCTTCATCTCTAGGTCAAAGGTCAAATAAGTGCAACAGTCTCCGTAAAGTATTGTCTGGGCCATAAGTTTCAAATTGTTTAAGATATCTCAATGAAACTTGAAGTTTGGCAGTATCACCAGCAAAAGATATGCAATGTGCTAGATAGAATTAGTTTACAGTGACCTTCACATCAAGGCCAAAGGTAAAATATATCAAACATTTATATTAAATTCTTTTTTAGACTATTATCTTGATCAAACTTGGAGTATACCTGCATTACACAATCTGTTTGTATCTATGGATATTGTCTAATAAGGGGAGACATATTATTTATTCACAAAATAATAATCTAGTTTTCCTAATAATTAATGTATTAAGTTAATCCATTAATAGTTTTATAAAGTCACATCTGTGAATTTATCACAGACGTGAACTATTGTAGTCAGGTAACATACAGTAATTTCATGCCTGGCAACAGTATCTGGTAATAGTACCTGGTAACAGTATCTGGTAATAGTACCTGGTAACAGTGCCTGGTAATAGTACCTGTTAACAGTGCCTGGTAACAGTACCTGGTAACAGTGCCTGGTAATAGTACCTGGTAATAGTATCTGGTAACAGTGCCTGGTAACAGTGCCTGGTAATAGTACCTAGTAACAGTGCCTGGTAATAGTACCTGGTAACAGTATCTGGTAATAGTGCCTGGTAACAGTGCCTGGTAATAGTACCTGGCAACAGTGCCTGGTGACAGTGTCTGGTAACAGTATCTGGTAACAGTACCTGTTAACAGTATCTGTTAACAGTACCTGGTAATAGTGCCTCAATATCTGTTAACAGTACCTGGTAACAGTGCCTGGTAACAGTATCTGGTAATAGTACCTGGTAACAGTGCCTGGTAACAGTACCTGGTAACAGTGCCTGGTAACAGTATCTGGTAACAGTGCCTGGTAACAATATCTGTTAACAGTACCTGGTAACAGTGCCTGGTAACAATATCTGTTAACAGTACCTGGTAACAGTATCTGGTAACGGTGCCTTATAATAGTACCTGGTAACAGTGCCTGGTAATAGTACCTGGTAACAGTGCCTGGTAATAGTACCTGGTAACAGTGCCTGGTAATAGTACCTGGTAACAGTGCCTGGTAACAGTGCCTGGTAACAGTATCTGGTAACAGTGCCTGGTAATAGTACCTGGTAACAGTGCTTGTGTGTAAACATTACTGTTAGCTGTGTGATGTTAGATGTGTGTCTTTAAGTCTGTGTTACTTTGGATAACCAGGGTGATGCATCACATTTTGTGGCTAGCATCTGGAGAAGGATCTCTTCTTCCTAACTGTGGTATACTGAGGCAAAGAAAGTCCATTGTAATGATTTTAGATTAGGTGGGACCAAGTTAAATATATCATAAGATTTAGATTTTTTTCAAAGTTTGAAATTCATAATTCAATACACATATCACAATTTGGAGCAAGTGATTCTTTTTCTCGTATCCTGAACATTTTGAATTGGTATTTCTGAAATATGATCAAAATGAACAATTTTCTTAGTTTCTATGCCAAATCAATAAAAAATCCTTCTTGTCACTAAAGTTTTAACTGAAGTCACATTAATGTAACATTATAGCTATCACAGTTTTAAGGGAATACTTGTAAAGTTCATGATATATAATCAGTGGAAAATACAACTTGTATTGGTTTGAATTATTAGATAATAATCAAAACACTTACAGTTACTTTTGCAAACCTCAAGATTTCAAAATAGTTTCTGCTAGGAAAGTACATTCTATAACAGGTTGAGAAAGGGTACGAGAAAAGCTTATCCCATCCATTGCATTGAGACCCTTGCTGTGAGTTTGATGGGCAGACTCTCGGATCCATGTCCGATCATATAAATCATTAAGGCTTTCCCCTCCTTTTGTTCCATGATAAATGATTATTATGTAATTATATATAAGATGTACATGTATGCAGGACAACAGATGCTTTAAAATGTTTAACTTGAAAACTTTCGTGTGCTAATTAAATCTGGAGATATTCACTTGAAATGGGAATATTATATTATGCAGATCTAGACATTCTTGATAGATATCCTATTGGGAAACTCTTTTGTTGAGGTTTGCATGATATCCATTTGGATGCATGTTTGTTCATTTTTCCGAATCTTTAATGTACCATTTCTTTCCGATGTTAAGGACCTTCAATCCATTTTCAGGTTACAGCATTATCATCCTATGTGCTGTAAGAGGGTGGGGATGGGGGCCTTGTTTTATTCTTGCCCTTTGTTACTTGAATAATACGGGTCAAATCAAAAATGTAAATAAGTAATGTTTAGGTGAATAACAGTAGAAAACAGTTATCATGAGTTATATCGGAGATCATTTTTGTTCTGCCGCCACGAAGTAGCGGAAGCGAGACTTAGGTGTTGCTTTTCCGGCGTCGGCGTCAACATTAAGTTTTTGCATTTAAGTTAGTTTCTCTGAAACTATAAGTGCTACACTAACCAAAGTTGAACCATAGATGCATATTAGGTAATACATCTCAACCCATGCATCATATGCTGGATGCAGCCTACCTTTCATGGTCCATTGACTTTGTCAGCATCTCCATCAACATTAAGGCTTTTGCGTTTAAGTTAGTTTCTCTGAAACTGTAAGTGCTTTACCAACCAAACTTGGTATACGTAGACCAACCAGCCAGACACGAGACATCATTTCAAATGTTGTCTGCATTGAATTTATCCACCGATATGTGCATCGATGGTCAAAGCAGGGCACTGGCGAGACATATCAATCCGAATGGCTTGTTTTTACTGTACTTCTTTACAGGATTTAGTTTTCTTGTTTAAACATGCATGGTTCTTTCCTTTTTTTGGTTTAAATTCTCAAGTTTTGTGTCAAATTTGAAGAAGAAATGTTCCCAATTTGAAAGTCTGTGATATACAATGTAAGTACTTTTAATATTTGCTGTAGACAGAACAGTTTGATTTCTAATCATATTTCTACGATATGTGCTTCATTGCTAGACATTTCAGAAAATCCTACATCTTAAAAAAAAAAATAACAAAAGGGAGAAACTGAGATTGAGAATCTTAGATTCACCTCCTTCCGTTGACACATTTTGCAGATTCTCAAAATACACATAAAAATTCAGTACACGAAAAAAATTGAACTGTTCTATTTAAATTGAACATAAAATAAAAGTAATTTGTTGTATTTAATCTGTCACAGACCAATATGATGCTGTCAAGATTGAAAAATTTCACCAATGCTGTGTGAAAACCCGACACCTTTATCATGTTCTTGTTTCACTCCTGGACCATCGCTTGTCATTCCATCAGTGGTGTTGTTCACTGAGATTTGGAAAAACTGAAATTTATCTGATGTCAAACTTCTACATTATACACAATTAATGTATGTATAGTAAACGTCCTAAGTTAAATGACATGAAATATAACACTCCGTCACTTCGTTGTACAGGTAAATAATACAATTCGTTGTACAGGTAAATAATACAAATTGCTCAATTAGTCATAGCCTGATAAAGGGACCAGTTGGTCTTGAACCATTGGGACATGTTAGATACATACATTGTTTGTGTATAAAGTAAAACTTTGATGTGACACATTTCCAAACTGATGAATCTTATTGAAGTTTATAGAATTCATTGATATTGTCCACATAATCATTTGAGAGTTGTTTTTCCATTAGCAATGAAGAGTTATCATGATAGGAAATAGTTGATTAAGATAAGATGTTGAAATGTTTTCTGTCCATCAGCATGCTGTGGATCAGATGATATTCCTTTATAAACGGGGTTTATTTCAAACTTTATCTTCTCTTTCCAGAGGACTTGGATGGCATGGGAGATCCAGATAACATTTCAGGTCATATTGAAGATTGTATCCTTGTACAGATGTCACATCAATATTGTCAAATTGATATTACAGATTTATATAAAAATTTGCTAGGATATGATTGACTTTGTGAATATTTTGATTTGCAATATGGAGAATAGTTCGTCTTGTAGACTAGCTCTTTGTATGATATACATACATGTACTTCAAATAACGGCAGAATTTAGGTACTTTACATGAATTTTCGCAACTTATGAAAAAAATAACACCTTGTGATGCACTTGGCTGTAGATAAAATTCATGTGTCGGTACCCACAGACATGTCTAGATTTATTATATCCCCTGCAATGAAGTTAGTGGGGGTATACTGGAATCAGCTTGTCCGTCTGTCTGTCTGTCATTTCTTCTGTCCGTAGAAAAAGTCCATATGTTTTTGTAAGCCTTAACAAAGGACAGATATTTTTCAAGAATTTAACAACACCGATACAAAATACAAAAACAGAGTGAGAAGTCGAGTTGCCAATTTGAGAGATTTAAAAAACCCACAGCTGAGAGAGAATGTCCTGTTGGGGCTGATTAGCCCAGAGAAGATAGCAAAGATGACTGCAGAGGTAAAATTATTGAAACATGTGCACACTGAGTTTTCTTGGCTGTAGAATTCAGAAACTTATATAAAACTTCGTGAAACATAGCATCAGATATATATGAAATAAAGTATTCCCGTAACTTTAAAATATTTATAAAATACATTGATAAGCTGTGTTTGTCTAATTTAATGGGTGAACAAACATAACATGTGTCAATGCTGTATTGTTTTTGTAGGAGATGGCCAGCGATGATATGCAGAAACTGCGTCGTAAATACACCAAAGAATCCATTGATGATCATCACATGGCTACAACCAGCGGTACCAAGTCAGACCTGTTCAAATGTGGAAAATGTAAAAAGAAGAATACAACATATACACAGGTGACTGATTTGTACTGATATTGTAATAGGTTATCTTTGATGTATTTGATGAAAGTAGAAAATGAAGGCACAAGCATTGTGGCCTTTATGAGCTTTTTTTATTGTCTGCCTCCTGGGAGGACACCAGTTTGAAGGATCCTGATGCTCATTAGTAGATATAGGCAGATTAGAACATTCAGCGTAAAAAGTACGGTTTAGTGACATCGAAATACGCTTCCTGCTGCCAGTTTGTTTTGAACCTTTAGCCCTCTTGATCAGTAGCTAACCACCAGCAACTGTGCTTGACTCCTATGATAGGCTAGCCACCGACAACTGTGCTTGACTACTATGATGGTCAGAAGGCTGGCCACTGACAACTGTGCTTGACTCCTATGATGGTCAGAAGGCTGGCCACTGACAAATGTGCTTATACTATATCATGGTCAGTTGGCTGACCACTGACAACTGTGCTTATACTATATCATGGTCAGTTGGCTGGCCACTGACAACTGTGCTTGACTCCTATATAGCCATGATGGTCAGAGGGCTGGCCACTGACAACTGTGGTTGACTACTATGATGGTCAGAATGCTGGCCACTGACAACTGTGCTTATACTATATCAGGGTCAGTTGGCTGCCCACTGACAATTCAATCTGCAGTCAGTAGGCCAGCCACTTACAACTTTTCTCATTTTTCATTTTCATTTCAACATGTTTTATTGACACAGAGTGAAAGTTGTCAACGTGATTGGGCAACAGGCACAGCCTATGTCAACCCTTATTCATCATTTCTGATTTACATGTTGGAATTAAAAAGAAGTCAAATGGTAATTTGTGAAGAATCAAATAATTGATTGTTGTAAGTTTGATGTTTAGATCTTGCTAATTTTTTTTTACATTATATCTTCAGCTTCAAACAAGAAGTTCTGATGAACCTATGACAACGTTTGTGTTCTGCAACGAATGTGGAAACAGATGGAAGGTACGAGTTATATGATATATATTTGTTAGTCTTTTACACCTGGCTTTAAAACTCCAATTATCAGATTTGTTATCGGACAAATACGGTTTTAAACCATTTAAAGGTCTTTTTTGGTGCCCTTTGTCATTCTTTTGTGATGATTTTAAGAAAATAATTGTGTAAAATTATCCTTGAATATTCAAGTGATGGGAGGAATTAATATCCAATATTATCAATGAAGTTTTTAAAAGAAGAGAGCTTTATATAATACTGAATAGTGGATATATTTCGCTGGGGTTTTAATTTCACTGTATTCCCACTTTGACTAATATCCACAAATTCTAAACATCAGCGAAATTATCGAAAATTTTAACCACTTTGACAGACCTTATCACAACATGTTGAAAATACTTATAACCCAACGCTGTTATGCAAGCTTAAATGAACTCAAATCAGATTATCACCGGACAACTGGGCAGTCCGTGTAAAAGCAACACTTATACATAAAAATGGGATTCATGGGATTCGAGTGCACAGCAAAAATTAACCCCCGCGAATATGTGCTGAATATGAAACCGGGAAATATTGACACCGGGAATTTAAAGCGCTATACAGTGTACCGGTATACTATATATCTTCAATCAGTTTTCAATTTTGATTGATTTAAAAGGAATCTTGGATGTTACTTTTGGGTAGTTTTGCATTTATGAAAATCTAGTGGTTATTTGGTCATAGTGTCATCAGAAAAAAGGTTAAGGGGAGAGAGAGTATACAGATAACTGATATATACATCAATTAGAAGTGGATTGAAGACAATGACAAGTGTTAATATCGAAAAACAGAAGTCTTTAGTCCATTCGATATATAAATATTTTATTTCATTTTCATTCTGATTGATGCAAAATATTAGTTTTTCATTCTTTATTTGTGATGATATTTTTTGTACTTTCAGTTTTGCTAGTCATAATAGAAAGAAGACCAGGGATGTTTGAGTGTATACTGATACTTTTGTATTGCCTGAGCTAGAACATGAATGTGTGGATGTCTAGTATCCCATGCGACTTTCCATTTATTTGCTTGGAGCAGCTGAAACCATATCTGTTTGATATAAAACAAACTTGACCAAGATGTTTCTGGAGGTTTTTGGTAAGATTAACCGCCAGTGGTTCACCCAGGTTGTCTAGGATTTTCCCTTAGAAAAGGTGTGTTTTCCTGTTCCAACCACTTACATGATGGTAGCCCCACCCCAGTGGTAAGCCAGTGCTTTATAGACAAGTTGACACTGTATGCACTACATAAGTTACTACCGTATTTACACGACAATAAGCCCGTGTCTGTTAATTAACCCACCCATAACTGTTACAGTCAGGAGAAATGTGAACATTTCGCTGTTCTGTAATAAGCCCATGCCCCACTTCGAGTCAAACATTGTGTTGACCCCCTGGGTTTTACTGTGGTATAAATATGGTATCTATGTATGTGGTGCTACACTAGGTTGTGGTTTCCCAACCTCCCACATACAAACATTTACTCTAGGGACAGTAATGTTGTCCATTCTCATTCGTAATACTACAGATCGTTACTAGAGCGACAGAAATGTTGTCCATTCTCATTCGTAATACTACAGATCGTTACTGGAGGGACAGCAATGTTGTCCATTCTCATTCGTAACACATGTACTACAGATCGTTACTGGAGGGACAGTAATGTTGTCCATTCTCATTCATAACACTACAGATCGTTACTGGAGTGACAGAAATGTTGTCCATTCTCATTCTTAATACTACAGATCGTTACTGGAGCGACAGAGATGTTGTCCATTCTCATTCGTAATTCTACAGATCGTTACTGGAGAGACCGAAATGTTGTCCATTCTCATTCGTAATACTACAGATCGTTACTAGAGCGACAGAAATGTTGACCATTCTCATTCGTAATACTACAGATCGTTACTAGAGCGACAGAAATGTTGACCATTCTCATTCGTAATACTACAGATCGTTACTGGAGGGACAGTAATGTCGTCCATTCTCATTCGTAATACTACAGATCGTTACTAGAGCGACAGAAATGTGGTCCATTCTCATTCGTAATACTACAGATCGTTACTAGAGCGACAGAAATGTTGTCCATTCTCATTCTTAATCCTACAGATCGTTACTGGAGGGACAGTAATGTCGTCCATTCTCATTCGTAATACTACAGATCGTTACTAGAGCGACAGAAATGTTGACCATTCTCATTCGTAATACTACAGATCGTTACTAGAGCGACAGAAATGTTGTCCATTCTCATTCGTAATTCTACAGATCGTTACTGGAGAGACAGAAATGTTGTCCATTCTCATTCGTAATTCTACAGATCGTTACTGGAGCGACAGAAATGTTGTCCATTCTCATTCGTAGTACCACAGATCGTTACCGGAGAGATAGTAATGTTGTCCATTCTCATTCGTAACACATGTACTACAGATCGTTACTGGAGAGACAGTAATGTTGTCCATTCTCATTCGTAACACATGTACTACAGATCATTACTGGAGAGACAGTAATGTTGTCCATTCTCATTCGTAATACTACAGATCGTTACTGGAGAGACAGTAATGTTGTCCATTCTCATTCGTAGTACTACAGATCGTTACTGGAGGGACAGTAATGTTGTCCATTTCATCTGTGGCAGATAAAAGGACATACCAAACAAAACTTTATTTTATGAATGAGCAAACAAGATTCATTCTGACATCACCTCATAAAGCATGTCATTCCTTTTCTTTCATAACATAATATGATTTCAATTTCATCAATGATGTTATTGATAGTGCTTCATACCTGGGCTGCTTTTGTTTATTGTGTACCGAATAGTTTGATGGGAGTTATCCCTGTATCAGATAAAGATAGACCCTGTGGTCTGATGTTGCTTGTGGTAAGTGTTTACAGAACGCTTCAAGGGCTACATTAACACTTGTATGTCTGCCAGACTTCACCCTGAATGGTTACATTCAAAAGTGAACAAACCAGTCTGTCCACATAAACCAAAACAGCTCCAGGAGGTCAAATTCTCTTCAATACTGGTGTTTCAGTTAAAATTGTTTAAATTTGTATTTAACCTGTATTTCTCTATTTTTTTCATGCTTTTGGTATATTTTAGGTTTTTAAGGTATCATTGTGTGTAAGAAGAAAGTCTTTATGTGAATTCAGATACATAGAAAGTTACATTGTAAACCATCATCAGGGATGTTTAAATATATACTAGTATATGTTTTACATTTTGTATATATTTATAGGTCTCTTTGTTTAAATTTAAAAGTTTAATTTATAGCTTGAATAAAGATTTTTTTTGTCTTTTCTTTCTTGTAACTGTATCTATCATATGGGTTAAAAGTTTTCCCTTATTTTGAATGATGTTGTTTCACTCTCTGTTTACCTTGTCGTGTGTGGAATACGTTATACAGCATAGACAACATGTTATAAATATTAATTATCCCTTAATATTTAGTTTGGTATAATTTGGTAGACAACATGTTATAAACATTAATTATCCCTTAATATTCAGTTTAGTATAATTTGGTAGACAACATGTTATACATATTAATTATCCCTTAATATTTAGTTTGGTTTAATTTGATAGACAACATGTTATAAATATTAATTATCCCATAATATTCAGTTTGGTATAATTTGGTGTTGACAACATGTTATAAACTTTAATTATCCCTTAATATTTAGTTTGGCATAATTTGGTAGACAGCATGTTATAAACATTAATTATCCCTTAATATTCAGTTTGGTATAATTTGGTGTTGACAACATGTTATAAACATTAATTATCCCTTAATATTTAGTTTGGCATAATTTGGTGTTGACAACATGTTATAAACATGAATGATCCCTTAATATTCAGTTTGGTATAATTTGGTGTTGACAACATGTTATAGATGTTAATTATCACTGAATATGCGATTTTGAAAATCATTGCAAAATCTTATTGAATTTTAATTATAATAAAAAAAGGTTTAACTAGCTGTCTGATGTTTACATTGATCATATCATGTTTTTCATTAAAAAATAAAGTTGTCATATTTTTTTGTGCATTGAAAATTGATTTAAGTTTTTATTGTATTTCATTATGTTGCATTTTCACAGCACCAATTGGAAATTTCCTGCAAGAATCTTGATCTTGTTTTGAACAGATCTTGTTTAAAATAGGACATTTTTGTTTATTTGTCCCTCCAGATATTGCCGAGGAAATTCATACATACATTTTTTTGATGTTTCATCTTTTGAGCGTGTTCTGTGTAGGTCATACGTTCAGAGATGAAACAGCTTGCCAATATCACCTTTAGTCATCATTTTTTTTTTAAATTCAGAACATTATGTACAATGTGTTTAATGTAATATCTTATTGAAAACAAAGACTAATACAGCATTAGTTGATAGAATGTGATTGTCAACACCTAGTGAACCACTTACTGGTCTGTCCCCACAGTGTTTCGATGCGTTGATGTCTTTATTATTATACATGGTGGTGTAAAGATATCTTTCAGTTATACATTGTGAAAAACTGTTTGTGTTCGGAAATAAAAATGCTGAGGTTTTGTGGTGACATTTGAATTTGTTTCGTTTTGTCGAGAATTATTGTAAACTATGGTTTTGAACATGTGATGAATTATTTTTTGTTCCGACCCCATTTTGTCAGTCCATCTGTCGACCGGTTCATCACTTTGTCCAGGGAATATATCAAATACTCGCTTCTACAACGGCCAAAGTTTGTGTTTGGGTAGAGTACCTCTTGGAATGTTGGGAGTAAATTTGTCACATTCTGAAATGGGTACTCTCGCCAATTCTATACAGAGTAGCGGCCCTTTGTTCACTGTGAACCGCATTGTCATATACTCTGTACTCTTTAGTACCAAATTTTTATGTTAGTAGCTCGTGAGATGACATAGTGTCACATGCTATAATTGAATCGTGCGCCCACTGTATACAGAGTTATGGCCCTTCGTACATATTGGATCCCGAAATTGGATATTATTATTTCGCAATATTTTGCCTTGTTTACTGTATATCTTATAATCATGTTCAAGGAATGTAGAATTTAAACCAATGTAAATGATTCACCCCTTTATACCACACAAAGAAATAGCGTATGACGACAATCTTTAGAAACCCTGTGTTGTAAGTTTGTCCATCAGCAGCCGACATCTATCATGGAAGTCATGATCTTTGAAGCCAGCCCTTGAGTACCGAATCTACTGCAATATGTAGACACCGTAGGTAGGGAAGCAGGGAAGTTGCTATTAAGAAACTGATAAGCCATCCCTGTTGGTCATGTTGTAAGTAAAGATCGAGGACAGCGGCTGAAGTTGAAGAGTCTGGTGTCCTTGATTTTAATCTCTGGCGGGTATATACGATCGATTTGGTCAATTAATTTCTTGTTATCCACGACAGCATATCCTCGATATCTCTGAATGTGAAACTGAAGGACTTTGCTAGGTTTTTGGTTACCAGTCCTAATAAGCTCATCAATGAATACAGTTTCGTATGAAGACAGAAAAAAATCGAATAGAAGATGTCGACAGTCTGCTGGAAAACGTTGCCACCGAATTCAACTTAAATATTGTCAACCAGGAACTCAATCATCCTCACAATATCGTCCTCAGTATATTTCATTTTGGCCTTTGTTTTACCTTGAACGAAATATGCTCCAAAACAATTACAACCATATCTTTATATCGCTGTACACCTTTCTTTGAATAGAAAGCTCGCATAGCAAGAGGACATAGGTGTTCCTTCAGTTTGGTACGAGGTATTGTAAAGGGTCGAAAAGTTAAAAGTGTTGATAGAAGAAACATTTTCGAGAAGAGGATGTTCAAGATCAATCAAAAGCACTTGGATTTTTCAAAATCCTCCTACCTTTTCCCCCATTTCTTGAGTATATAGTACCACAATACGACTGCAGCTCCAGTTTAATGGTACTGAGGATTACTGCGACTACAGCAATTACAACAATAAGTGTGACCGCTACTGGAACAACACACTCCACACGAAGTTCATTCCTGTCCAGGAAGGTGATTGTGAGGTGTCAAGCACGTTAGAAAGTGTGATGCCACAAGCGAAGTTTGACCGTTCATACATGAACTAGATTGTGAGAAGGTTTCGAAGAGGACTTACGATTAACGAACCTGCTGTTATCGATGTAATCCTAGCTGACGTACACAATCTTTGAAGGTCTCTGATGTGACCATTCACATCTTGTTAAAACGACTCGTAATACAGGGTAGCATAGCTATTAATAATAATAATTATTGATGATAGAATTTCATTACTATGAAGTATTTCCGGATTGTGGCTTCTTCATTACTACTGCCTATAGTATCTGTTGGTATGATCTGCTGGTAGATGCCGCCTTGATTTCAGTAGAACATTGAAGATAAGAAACAAGGTATCGTCACCAAACCTTCATACACGTTTGGTATATAATCATAACCACAGAAAAATAGCGCCATGAAAAATATTTTATTGCAGTTTCTCGCGCAATCTTTCTACCCACACATACCGGGCATATTCACTGTACATATAATCTCATCTTCATATATCATATAATTACCAACCCGACTCTTCACCAGGTACACACAATAGCAAAATACAGGGATGTGATAGTTTCGCCAGTTAAGCTTAAAAAGGTTCTGATCTGCCACCAGAAGGACGAATCTGCCGAAAGCACATGATGTCATAATTCTTCAAGTAGATGGTCAACCATTCTACCAATGTTTTATTCCTGGATTCAGTCCACCGATCTACTGATAGTCTAATTCTGGAATCAGTCCATCAATCCACTGATATTCTGATCGTGGAGTCAATCCACCAATCTACTGATAGTCTAATTCTGAAATCAGTCGACTACTCTACCAATATTCTAATACTGGAATCAGTCCATCAATCTACTGATATTCTGATGGAGGAGTTAACCACCAATCTACTGATATTCCTATCCTGGAATCGGTACATCAATCTACTGATATTCTGATGGAGAGTCAACCACCAATCTACTGATATTCCTATCCTGGAATCAGTCCATCAATCTACTGATATTCTGATGGAGGGTCAACCACCAATATACTGATATTCTGATGGAGGAGTCAACCACCAATCTACTGATATTCCTATCCTGGAATCGGTACATCAATCTACTGATATTCTGATGGAGAGTCAATCTACTGATATTCCTATCCTGGAATCAGTCCATCAATCTACTGATATTCTGATGGAGAGTCAACCACCAATCTACTGATATTCTGACGGAGGAGTCAACCACCAATCTACTGATATTCTGATGGAGGAGTCAACCACCAATCTACTGATATTCTGATTGAGGGGTCAACCACCAATCTACTGATATTCCTATCCTTGAATCAGTCCACCACTGTAACTATATTGTGACCTTCCTGCAATTACTTATTTCACTGTCTAACAGTCCAGCTATTCCTCTCAATAATGATTATTTTAGTGGAAGTTCTTCATTTGTAATAACCATGAGAGAGATGTAGACACTACCGTCGTGGTCATTTCAACATCTTATTAGCTTTTTACGAAATCTTGTTTTTTTGCGATTGTTCTTACAACATGTTCGATATATATGATTCTTATTTGCAAGAACAGTTGTTTGTTTCTTGTTGGTGTCTGAATATTCTAGTGAGAATAGCATGTCCATATAAACTAACGCGAACACACGAATCTCGCATCATGTAGGAGGTTCCGTATAGGTGAAAGGTACTGCTTGGCCATAAGTCTTGCATATCACAATGGCATAATTTTCCCCTTAGTACTTCCTTTTGTTTTTTGCCTCTTCCTTTCGTTGTTCGTCTTCGGCCTCCCGTTTTTTCGTCACCTCTTTCATTTTTAAAACCACTTCACTGTAAAGATCAATTTATTCATATTAATCATTTGACATTTGCCGACGAAAAGGACGTAGCATTACTGAAATATAAGTATAAGACATGCAGATGATCGTCCTTAGATTAAACTAATATGAGAATATCAGCAAGGTAAAAGTGAGAAAAAAATATCTAAAGTCAGTGCTTGTTGAGGATTAACTTGAATATACTTTTCATGTTATGGAGATATAACACAAAAAAACAGAGTGTACTCTAAATAAACCGCGAATATATTCAAGTTAATTCTTATAATTTAATCTACTATACACATTCCCTGTGGAAATTCACTTTTATTGATGGACTCTTTTCTTTTAGAAATTATTGCGCTGCTGTATCAGCCAATCAAAAGCGACGTTACAAACGGCGACGTCATTTTGTTATGTTATGGGCCGATAACATAAATATTTAAGCCAATGAAAATGCTTGTTACAAGCAAAATTAAATTATTACATTATATCTCTGCAATTAATGCAATGAAGTATTTAGTAATTTCTATGATATTTACCTAAAATCAAGATCTCCATCGCCGTCCATGTCTATAAACGTTATGAGCTTGTCCACTTGGAAATCGGTAAGATCTATCTTCGCTTCCTGTAAATTCACCATTGTACAAAAATATGAGAATGGAACATTCAAAACTTGTACAGTTTCAACTTCTTCTTCTCTTCAGAATAGTATACGTGTATATAAGCGACTGGGTCATACTCATATTTATTGTAATGTTAACAAATGTACCGCATCACCATTTTCTCACATTTTATACTGTTTGCAACCTATACAAAATTGATATTAAAAAAACCAAAACATCTGACAATAAAAGTGTTCATTTATCAATAGAAAATTAATCACAGAATTTTAAATTGATATTATGAAGCTGCAAACCTTAATCCCTTCCCGAAATTAACCACTGAATTTTAATTTGACATTATGAAGCTGCAAACCTTAATCCCTTCCCGAAATTCGTCATAGTCCACGCTATTACTACCGTCGTCGTCAAAGCGTGCAAACAGTTCGGATATGGTGAGATTGTGTCTGTCCATGTATTCCTTGATGGTGAGTAAGGCGTCCTCCCCAACATCTACAGATCCAGCCATCTTACGTTTGCCGTACATGTCACCATATCCAAACTTTATCTCTAAACCTTCATGCTTTTCCTTCAGTTCATCTACCCTATCCTGAAAGTGTGGGCCTAGGATAACATCCTAAGTAAACAATATAATTAATTACACGTAAGTATAATATAATCACTAGTCGTTTCGGATACAATTATAAAAGAAACATAGAATATATCATTATTAACGACTTCTTAGAAAGTCAAGAATTCTCGGTACACTTTTTATGCCTTTTTTTACTCAGCTAAACTCTAGTAAAATTCATTAGCAGAAGCTTTTTAGTCGAATGGATCAGAGAGCTTATGCCGTGTTCGCCCGTCAACTTTTTCTTTAATCGACTTCTTCTTAAGAACCATATGACATAAGGTATTGGTATTGGACTAATAGTTGAGGTATAGTCTATAAAACATGCGAAAAATGATTTTCAATGTCACCGGGACTAATTGCAAAAAAAAAAAAAAATGGCTTCAAAAGCCTAGAGTCATGAATGTTGCTAGGTAGCTTACTGGTATCGAGTACTACGAAACATTTTTCAATTGCTTCTTTTTTATTATTAAATTATCAAAATACCTCTTTGTCTGTAGACGATAATCTGGGAAGTAAAATGTATATTTTTAAACCTTACCGTCATATCTAGCATAGTGAGTGCGGTGGACTCCATCTGATCAAACATCTCCACTGCGGCGTTCGCTGCATCCTCAGGTATATTATTTTTTCCTATCTGAAATTGCAGGACATATTTGTTGATATATTTTCCTTTGTTTTGTCACGATCTATTGTAAATGTGAACAAACCGTTCTCGGCATTAGCAGAGAAATATTTTATCTTAAAGTAAACATTATAGCCAGCAATGTTTTGTTTCTTAAAAAAAAAAACGTTTTGGTGTAGTTAGTTTGGTTTTCTGCAACTTCAAACAGAGTCTTTCCTTTCTTTGTTTCTCTAGTGATTGTCTTACCCGTAGTTCTTGAAGTGTATCGTTGTTTTTAAGGCCTTTCAAAATACCGGCGAATCCCTCGGGGCCTATCCTACAACACGAAAGGTCAATGACCTCTATGACGTTGTTATTGCCGATGGCGTCACCGAAATCCTTTCCGCCGCCGTCGTCTAGACCATTCCATGACACGTTCAAGTATTTTAGGTAGGCATTTTCCTGAAAATAATAAGAAAGGCATTTTGGAGCGACAGTTCTGATAACAACAAAATTGCATTAACTGTCCCTAGTCAAGCTTCAAGTCCGTTTTAAGGTTGTAATTCGTCTCTGTTATAGTTGTGGTGACTGGTTTTGCTTTTGGAACAAATCACGCACTACCGATACGAATCAAACAATTTCAATACCAGAATAAATAAAAATAAAAAAATTAAGTGAATTTCAAAATTTGCAATGATTCATTATATACCATTTCTCTGACGTAAAGATTAGTGAGGTTAAATGTATATTATCGGAAGTTATCCCATAAGTGAAGGATGCTACACATGTGTAGTGGCCTAGGACGATATACATGTGTAGTGGCCTAGGATGCTAAACATGTGTAGTGGCCTAGGACGATATACATGTGTAGTGGCCTAGGATGCTAAACATGTGTAGTGGCCTAGGACGATATACATGTGTAGTGGCCTAGGATGCTAAACATGTGTAGTGGCCTAGGACGATATACATGTGTAGTGGCCTAGGATGCTAAACATGTGTAGTGGCCTAGGACGATATACATGTGTAGTTGCATAGGATGCTAAAATGTGTAGTGGCCTAGGATGCTACACATGTGTAGTGGCCTATGACGATATACAAGTGTAGTGGCCTAGCTTATGTTACTGATGTCAAGACGATACTGACCTTCATACCCGTTGCCAGATGTTTTGCCCCAATCAGTCTGAATTGGTTCCAACTTAGGTCTAATGCCAGTAAAGCACGGTTAGCGTCGGCTGTTAGAAACAATATCAGTTTTAGGTAATATATATTATGTATCATTTTCTATCCCATTCTTTATTTCATAGCTTTTAACAACTTCATTGGTCTCTGGTAATATCGATGTTGAGTACCGGTCAATAAAATTTGATCCTTGTATTTGAAATATGATTAACTTCATTTATTTTACAACAATTATGAAACAAGTTATTTCAACTTATACTAAACACTCTTGTTGGCCCGGGGGTCTTAATGTGGGAATGTTGGAAGAAACCGGAGTACCCGAAGAAAACCCACGTAGTAGGACAGGTGACCCCAGGCCTTTTCACGTCCGATCGGGAATTCGAACCCCGGCCGCCTTGGCGAAAAGCAGGTGCGTTATCCACTGTGCCACCCGACCACCAATCTTTATTTGATGATATCAATATAATGATTTTACACGCTCTTTCTTAGCACCCATCATCTTAATTTGTCGGCTACATCGAACACTAAACTCACTTGTTCATTGACAGGTGACATTTGTAGTATGTCAATCTAATACACTAATATCCATTTTCAATAATAAAATTAACGATTAGTTTTAAGCCAGAATCGATTAATAGTGAATTAAATAGTAATTGTTAATATTTTGCCATTTTTTTCAAATATTTGTTTATTATTTTGATTATAATCATGCACTGTGCTACTTTTAAAGTTGACATAGCATGTTAAGAACCACCGGCAAACTTCTCAAAACTGTTTCCTACACCGAGACATCCCCTGGTTAAAGGAAGCTTTTCCTACACCGAGACATCCCCTGGTTAAAGGAAGCTTTTCCTACACCGAGACATCCCCTGGTTAAAGGAAGCTTTTCCTACACCGAGACATCCCCTGGTTAAAGGAAGCTTTTCCTTCACCGAGACATCCCCTGGTTAAAGGAAGCTTTTCCTTCACCGATACCTCCCCTGGTTAAAGGAAGCTTTTCCTACACCGAGACATCCCCTGGTTAAAGGAAGCTTTTCCTACACCGAGACATCCCCTGGTTAAAGGAAGCTTTTCCTTCACAGAGACATCCCCTGGTTAAAGGAAGCTTTTCCTTCACCGATACATCCCCTGGTTAACAGAAAGATATCAAAGGACGCTATTCCTAAATCCCTAGTAAACAGGAAGCTTTGTTTTTATATGTATCAGGTACATGTACATGTAATTTCCATTTCACACTAGGCTGTCGGCAAGCGATCACTCAAATTACAGGAATGGCTGATTTTCTGTTAACCCGGGGGTTTCGCGCTGGGCAGGAATGATTGGTATCCTTTATAAGAGAATGACCAACATTCTGTTTACCATGGAAAGCTCGCTGGTGGTACTTAACATACTCATCTCATGCAACTACGTTTGACAAACTATTTGACTGGTATATTTATGGATGTAATGAAGGTGATGATAATGTTAATCTGTTTTTATCGCACTTATCAATAGCTTAGATGATTTCAATATAGGCATTGGTATCACTTACGCTGACGTTGATAGGCTGAAATACGGCAATGAAATAACTCACACAAACACAAGACTGATGCAAAAAGACAAAGACAAGCTATTTACTATATACGGTTCAAATACGATATCATTACACAGAAAAAAAGCAGAAAAAGTGTGTATAAAAGAGAAAAACAATTCCAATAAAGTTTACATATTGAAATAAATTACGCTGGGTTACATACTTCGAAAAATATAATTTCCACACGCCTTTCAAAATCATTCATCTCTTGTGTGGATTTGAACAAGTGAATCTCCCCAAACAGGTAAAGATGTAAGTATTATTATACTCACACATCATCTTCTCGAACTCGGGTCCTGATACATCTCCAAACTCATTGTGACTGAGGTCCACATGCTCTAGACTAGAATGGTCCTTTAAAAGAAATACTGTCCTTATATTTAACACACGGAAATGAAATAAGGAGAAAAATCATTCTAGACTAGAATGGTCCTTTAAAAGAAGAAAATTTGTCCTTATATTTAACACATGGAAATGAAATAAGGAGAAGAACCATTCTAGACTAGAATGCTCCTTTAAAAGAAGAAAATCTGTTCTTATATTTAACACACGGAAATGAAATAAGGAGAAAAATCATTCTAGACTAGAATGGTCCTTTAAAAGAAGAAAACTTGTCCTTATATTTATCACACGGAAATGAAATATGATGAAGAACCATATTATCCTAAATATGTTTAAATACGATTTATCCATTTTCTACAAACTAGAGAAACTCACTTACCTGTATTTGTTTTGTAAGGTATATTGCGTCTTGATCTGTAAATTGATTCCCTGTAACACGAGAAAACATTTGATATCTACGAGTAGTGCCATTATCCATGGTCATCATTCCCTGTTTATCAAACAAACGATTTATTTATTATGTTATGGGCTTATCAAGGCTTGTGAAACATTGTGGCACAATGACAAAAATGAACAATGTCCCTATTATATGAACAACGAGGGAGACAGTTTATTTCCACCAAACATTGCGTATGTGTATTTTTCTTTCTAATCAAATATCAAAATCATATATTCATATATAATCGCTTATTGGCGGGTATAATCTTGCAGTTTTCAAAAACTTTTCTCTGTGATTGTCCAGGTGAAATAAGTTGAGAAATGAGTTCTGTATTCTCTCAAGCTAGATTGTCATAGCGTTCAGAACAACAAAGTTTTTCTTTGATCATTCACGTTGTTGCTTTGTTACATGGCTATTTCTAGGCGTCATATTCGAATTTTTTGAACACCTGTAGTTAGACTAGCACGCAGACAAGTACAGTTCCTTGACTATAGATGTTATAAATTGAAATAGGTATCTATATAACCATAGATGTTATAAATTTAAATAGGTAAAGCAGCTTATTTTTCAAATATTCCTTCTGACTGGCCATGTAATAAAATAATCTTAATATTTAAATAAAGACATCAACACGCTTAAACATTTCACACGAGATCTCGTTTGTTATTCTATTCGTACGAATTGTGATCTGCCCATATAAGGTAACAGTTGAGAGTTGGTAACCTTATTTTTACGAAGCTTATCATAAAGTACCAGATATGAGAGAAATATAAAAATTATGTATGCTTGGTAACTGACTTGAGTGACGCCTGACAGATTGAGAGTGCTGCCATGTAACTGAAGAGTTATCTACCTGACAGGTTGAGAGTGCTGCCATGTAACTTAAGAGTTTCCTACCTGACAGGTTGAGGTATCGAACAACTTTGTTTTCCCTTAACATTAAACCCATCACTTTGGCTCCGTACGTTCCTAGGCTGTTTTCGGACAAATCCTGGAAATTAGAGAATACAACAATTAATTTTCATTGACAAACATCCGCACATTGCGTATATAAGTTGTTTCATACTATGGTTGTTTGAGGCAATGTTGTCAGGAATGTTAGGAAAAAGATTCGTTTATAACCCATTCAAAGGGTGATCAATTGGTCCTAAAGTTAGTTTGTCTTGACTTATCTATACTACTGCTAAATAAAACTAAATGAAGCTGCAGTTTTCATTATATCTATTGAATTAACAATCCTGTGAGTCTAGTATACTCACTTGGATAAGCATCATTATGTACAATATAATGCATACCAGATCTGTTATAGACACAATCTCCTTTATATAAATCTGTAACATACCAGATCTGTTATAGACACAATCTCCTTTATATAAATCTGTAACATACCAGATCTGTTATAGACACAATCTCCTTTATATAAATCTGTAACATACCAGATCTGTTATAGACACAATCTCCTTTATATAAATCTGTAACATACCAGATCTGTTATAGACACAATCTCCTTTATATAAATCTGTAACATACCAGATCTGTTATAGACACAATCTCCTTTATATAAATCTGTAACATACCAGATCTGTTATAGACACAATCTCCTTTATATAAATCTGTAACATACCAGATCTGTTATAGACACAATCTCCTTTATATAAATCTGTAACATACCAGATCTGTTATAGACACAATCTCCTTTATATAAATCTGTAACATACCAGATCTGTTATAGACACAATCTCCTTTATATAAATCTGTAACATACCAGATCTGTTATAGACACAATCTCCTTTATATAAATCTGTAACATACCAGATCTGTTATAGACACAATCTCCTTTATATAAATCTGTAACATACCAGATCTGTTATAGACACAATCTCCTTTATATAAATCTGTAACATACCAGATCTGTTATAGACACAATCTCCTTTATATAAATCTGTAACATACCAGATCTGTTATAGACACAATCTCCTTTATATAAATCTGTAACATACCAGATCTGTTATAGACACAATCTCCTTTATATAAATCTGTAACATACCAGATCTGTTATAGACACAATCTCCTTTATATAAATCTGTAACATACCAGATCTGTTATAGACACAATCTCCTTTATATAAATCTGTAACATACCAGATCTGTTATAGACACAATCTCCTTTATATAAATCTGTAACATACCAGATCTGTTATAGACACAATCTCCTTTATATAAATCTGTAACATACCAGATCTGTTATAGACACAATCTCCTTTATATAAATCTGTAACATACCAGATCTGTTATAGACACAATCTCCTTTATATAAATCTGTAACATACCAGATCTGTTATAGACACAATCTCCTTTATATAAATCTGTAACATACCAGATCTGTTATAGACACAATCTCCTTTATATAAATCTGTAACATACCAGATCTGTTATAGACACAATCTCCTTTATATAAATCTGTAACATACCAGATCTGTTATAGACACAATCTCCTTTATATAAATCTGTAACATACCAGATCTGTTATAGACACAATCTCCTTTATATAAATCTGTAACATACCAGATCTGTTATAGACACAATCTCCTTTATATAAATCTGTAACATACCAGATCTGTTATAGACACAATCTCCTTTATATAAATCTGTAACATACCAGATCTGTTATAGACACAATCTCCTTTATATAAATCTGTAACATACCAGATCTGTTATAGACACAATCTCCTTTATATAAATCTGTAACATACCAGATCTGTTATAGACACAATCTCCTTTATATAAATCTGTAACATACCAGATCTGTTATAGACATATTCTCCGTCATCATTTGTTGTATGTATAACACGCCGGCGTTGTCTATGCAGTTTCCTTTGAGAACCAATGACGTCACAGTGGAGTTCACCTGTAAGGAGAAAAGAGAAAATATAGGCGATATCCATTTTGGTGATCACTTATAAACATACATTTATATAGATTTCAAACGTTAATATCATTTAAGCCTCTTCGTTTAAGAAATTCTTGGTCTTTCGCTCAATGTAATATAACAGATACGGTATATGAAACCCCCCCCCCCAAAAAAAAACCCTGCTCTCGTTAAACAACTGTTTAAGAACTAAATTTCTTTCTCCTCGATATTTTTCCAGCATTGATGTAACGTTCGATGATATAAACATAAAGAGGATTACTTCTCTTCACTAAGAGACACGAAACCACAAAGAATAATTGTACACCTGCTTTTAGCAAATCACTCCAAAAGATGTTTGTCTGGTATAAAGTCCCGTAAAGCATAGGACACGCACACGTAATTGCACCTATACAATTTGGTAATTGATAGGGCCTCCAGTATATCAAGAAAACATGAGTTATACTGCACCATATCGCAGTTTCGCTCTTCTAGGACTAATCGGTGAAGCTAGAGGCCCAAAAGGTTGAAATCAAAACAGGTGTAAACTACTGTTTAAAGCAGAGGGGAGATGCATAAACCCTTTAATTATATGAATTTCTTAACACAATGTACTACTGTATGTGTAGGTTCTGAGTTGAAGAGAGTCCGCGCTTGCCAGGTACTGGCCGTAGGTTGGTCGGGTTTTTCTGGGAACTCCAGCTTTCTTCCACCACCAAAACCTGGCACGTCCTTAAATGACCATAGGTGTTAATTCCGTCTTTGCGTATATCAGAGTTATCTTCTCTTGGGAGCAGGTATTGATTGTTACGTCATTGGTTTGTGCGGGAAAATTACGTCGTTTTCTCAAAAATTGACGACGTTACTCTCACAAACAAGTGACGTAACAATCAATACCTGCTCCCAAGAGAAGATAACTCTGCAATACGCAAAGACGGTATAGGACGTAAAACACAAACAAACCAAAACTTAGTTGTAGAAGTTCAATACTAACCACGAGAGCCACAGATACAGCCATCACTCCTTTTGGTCCTAAACCATAATTTGTGAGGTCGATGTCCTTTTCCGCGAGGTTCCGTAGGAACAGAGATGACGGAGTGACTCCATACTTTTTACACGCCCTCTCATATGTCCGCTTTCCCGTGTCGTCATAGGGCACTGACGCCACTGCCATGTACAGAAATTACATGTACTTGTCTCGTGCAAATTAACACGATTCAATTGTGTCGAAACAAAATAAACAATAAATTTAAGTTTAATCTCGAAAAGAAGCCAATTCGGTTTTTTTTAAATATTATTATGTATTTATTTTTATATATTATTGTATTAAAATTAAGAATCCACTCGAAGACAAATATATACAAACTTTCTCTTAAGTCGTAATTATATAAACTAACAAGATTAGACCCTTATATTTCATCATATATTTCGTATTAATAATATAGCATAAATAAACATCGATAATTCAACGAATTAAAAACACAAAAAAATGGGTCAAGACTGATATATCGCAATTAAGGTATTACATAAAATATAGTGACTGATATAAAACAAGAGGTGCAGAGAGCCTGCATCACCCACCTGGAAATTTTAGCAACATGAAAAGAAAGTCTTATTTAAAGCAATTCTGCAAACCAAGATGCTATATAAACACCGTATTACCATTGGGTTCTTGGCTATTCAGAAGAGTTTTGAAAAATAGTTTTAACACATTTGACCCTTGTGATCTTGCAAGAAGGTCAAGATAATATTTTCTTTTGATATTTACAACACATATAAGCATGCTACTTATCAAATATGATAACTCTGGGCATCCGATTTATTCAGGAGTTATTGAAAGGTTTTGATGTATTTGACCCCCGCAGCCTTCTAAGTAGATCATGTTCATTTGTTTTGAACAATGTTTGAAGTACTTCATCCCAACATGCTACTGACTAAATAATGAACAATTCCTCATTTACCTGAGGTTTTTCCTTAACCCCTGACCTCTTCGATATAAGAAGTCCGTTAAAGTGTTTTTTTTAACAAATTTGACACTTGTGACCGTGAACAAAGGTCAGTGTCGCCTTTTTAAAGAATTAAGGCACTGCATTCCAACTTGCTACTGGCCAAATATCTTTACCCTAGTCATTTTTGATATTGAGATACAGTTTAAACGTTTTACACATTTGATCCCTGTGACATTGAAGTAGGTTTAGGTCATTTATTTGGGAAAACTGTCATCGAACACAATCCAAGGTTACTAATGGCATAATTTAATTACACAAGGACTTTTTTTGTTAATCATCGACCTTGAACGTAGGTCGGGGCCATTTATTTCAGTAGACGTGGTTGCACTCCATCCCAGGTACCGAATGGCAAACTATCAACAACATGGGGTAATTTTGTTATACAGAAAAAAGGTGGCTTAATGTTTTGTTTTTTACATATTTGATCCCAGTGACCTTGCAGGTAATTCATTTCCAGGTACTTGATGGTATCACCCTGGTCCATTTGGTCATTCAGAAGAAATCGTTTAAAGATTATTTTACATATTTGACTTCTGTGACTTTGGACGCAGGTCAAGGTAATATATTTAAGGAAACTTTATTGCACTCTAGCGTAGGTACCTCCTCGCATAATAACATGACCCCGAGTCTTTCAGTATTAAAGAAGAAGTTCTTCAAAGAAATTCATGCCAAATGACCTTGACTTCGTGCACATTAGGAGCACAATATCACAACCAGGATATTAAAGAAAAGTGTATTGATAATTTGATACAAAGCAAATTCTCACCTGTAAGGTCCAGAACCGTCTCCGTGTCATCATCTACAGACGCCCTCTTCCGGTTCTTACTCGCCCTGCGCAGGTCTAGGCCTCTTGGCGTGCCAGCCTGTTTGGATTCTGGTCTTTCACTTGACATCCGACCACAAACCCGACTCTGAAATACAGAAACGTGTTATGATATTTGAACAATTAATACGTTCCAGTTTTCTTGACGTTATATATGTAGTAATTGAGGTGACCAATGAAGTGAAGATTTATTACATTTAACATAACATCGACATAATTTATAGCCCTCTGCAGGAAAGCGCCAAACTATTGATAAAACGGATGCATTTATGAGTGTTCGCCTTTATCACGCCAACCTTCAAACAGAATAGGAAGATGAGTTAATCCTATAGTTTTTTTTCTTTGGAAAAAAAGAATCATTAAGGTAAAAAGAGATACTGCCTCCCGTGGGGTTATTCCAATGACGATTTGTGAATATGTAATTAATTTAAATCCGCAGAATATTATTTTCATACCTCAATAATGGATTTTAAAATTCTACTAATCTGGCCTCGATTCTTACAACATTTCCGACCTCGATGCACACGCCTTAATATAGCAGATAAATCACTCGCTTGATTATGTCGCTGATGGAAATGTAACCAGTAATGTGTAGATAAAGATCAATATATAAATGTTATTTTTTTATAGAAGGAAAATTCATCTATACTTTTAAAATCTCACCAAGGTTCATATCCTATTGTGAATGAGTGTTTATACGTCTACAAGCAAGTGTTTACACAGTACAGTTAATATCGAATAAATCGGACACTTCAGATTATTGTATCGCATTTTATATCAAAGTCAATTGTGATGTCTTTATTTGCACGAAAGCATAAGTCAAGTTTGATACATTATTAAAATGTTCTTTCTAAAAGCACGCGGATCTATCAATAGAGACCGTTCTGAGGGTAGAGTAGACACGGAGCTTTGAGTGTGTAAATCTCTAGTTAATAACCATTTTTAATATCACAAAGTTCAAAAGGGGATTGAATCTTCTGTTTGCTTTAATCTAAACTAAAATATATCAGTTCGATTTATTGTGTAAATATACAACCACTGCAAGCGTCCTGCAGACTTGGGCACTGCTTCGATAAGGCACCGTGCTGTGACTGTTTCAAGTTAGCACGCCGTGAGTAGATACCTTATAATAAGTAACAATTTACTCCAGGTAAATGAATGAACTTCCCCAGACAAATAAAGCATTGTTAGACTGGGCTCGGAGGTATTTGCAATGAGAACAGTAGATGTTTGAATGTTAAGGTACGTCATATTTTACATTTATATTGGATACGTCGTAGTTACCAATAATGGCGTGACACGACGGGAGAGAGAGAATATGTTACTTATCTTGGGTGATGATGTTGTTTAAACAGACTATTAAAGATTTGTAGATGTCTAAGAACTGAACCAGCTCACCATTATGTTGTATTATTCCGTTTGGTGTTACACTGTTTAAAGTCATAGTAGATTTTCACACATGTATTCCACCCTTACAACGCTATAGTTTTACATGGATAGTTTTAGTTTCATGGTACCGATTTCAGAACTGATTTTCCCCAACTACAAACACTATGTTTGATAGTTAACAGTTTGAAGACCACCAGGGCATTATTTTGGTGATAGTTTTAAAAGATTAAAACATGAGATCTTTAACCTTTTATTTATTCGATCATTTTTATTGGAAGATCTGGTTTCAAAACTGCACTTACCCCTCCGCTGCATATGAATGAAGCACACTCAATTAAATTTGCATATCATTATAAACCTCTTATCTACAGAACAAAAGCAGTAAATATTGACCTGTGTAATTATGTGACAATCTGTTGGTTAGTGTATATTACAGGACAGCCATTTTATCTCGTACCCGATCCTTTAAAAAAAAAAAAAAAAAGTTAATAGCTTTAAGGCTGATGTGGTGATTTTCAATCCAATTGCTTATCAATAAAATCATTTTTAATAGAAAATTGAGGATTCAGTTGATATTGATGCGTATTGCAAGGATAAGAATAAATTTCAAAAAGAAAAAAGAAAAAAACCGACATAGTGTCAACACATGAGTTCAACTCGATAAGATTACAATAGAGAAAATAAATTGAGGATACACAAATTGAAAAAAACCCGTTATGATCACCAATAACTGAAATGTTTACTTTTAAACAATACAAGGACGTTTTAAGACTAGGATTCAAATCTGAGTAAAGACAGGCGGGAAAGACAGGTCTCGACCATATGACTCATTGTTAGCTTAAAAATAAAAAAAAATCATCTTTGAAAAATTTCTTTCAAATGGATTTGGTGGTATTTGTGTGGTAATGCATTCAAATTGATCACATTGAATTAATAAACACATTTATATTTTCTTTTGGTAAATTAAGACAAAATGGGAATGTTATATGTAATGTTTTCAGCTGATAATAAATTGAACAAATTGGACCTATAATTCACCTTCCTTAATCTGAGTACCATGTACGGGCGGTAATTAAAATCAAACTTGTGTTACAAATAGCTATGCCACAGAATCAACACTCCTTACCACGCCTACATCACAATAAGTACTTACCGTGACGACTTAGCGAACATATTTAGAAACCGGTGACGTCAGAGGAGGTTACGAATTAGGTGCTTGTTGACTTAATACTAATCGATGTAGAATAAATTAGTTACTCGGGCACTCGGTAAGGAATTGACAAATAATAAGTCTTAAAATCAGCTTAAGAATTTGGCGATTTACATTGTGGTTGGTTTTCGAATTATTGTGATGTATGTTGTTAAATCTTCATGTTTTATATTGAAGTATTAATAGTTTACATCGTAAAACTTATAACAAGTGTAAATTTTAATAAACAAAATTACAACAGAAAGCACAAGTTTAACATTATTAAAACACATCGGTTTTGCAACATAAAAACAACTTTTACCATATAAGAAAACTTTTATACAATACATATCACAAGATTTAGAACATTAATCACAAGATGATTAAACGTTACAATGTTTGACACACACTAAACTCTTAGCAACATAGTTAATTTCTTATAATCATCGTTAAATGGAAACAAACACGCAGATCTATGGTGCTCGGCAGGTTGACAGAAATATGTTTATACTGTGAGAAAATACCAACGTACAACATACATACTAGTAGCACAAGATAGTGCCACCATCCGTTACTGCATAAACATATATCTGCATGTGCTATGGAGCATAATAAGTAAAAAAATCGAAGTAAAGAGGCACCTTTTAAAACAAGCTAAGCTTTTTGATGTAACACAATTTTTCTGGGTTTTTTTTTACAGCACTATGACCATTTCATCCTTGTTGAAGAGAAATAGACACGCAGATCTATTCGTCTCGGCAGTTTGACAGAAATATATTTATATCGTGAGTAGATACAAGGTTACAGCCAACATCAGGGACTGATACTCGACCAGTACATACAGGGTTACGGTCAGCCTCAGGTACTGATAGTCCACAAGTAGATACAAGGCTACAGTCAACCTCGGGGACTGATAGTCCACCAGTAGATACAAGGTTACGGCCAACCTCGGGACTGATAGTCCACCAGTAGATAACAGAAATATATTTATATCGTGAGTAGATACAAGGTTACAGCCAACATCAGGGACTGATACTCGACCAGTACATACAGGGTTACGGTAAGCCTCAGGTACTGATAGTCCACAAGTAGATACAAGGCTACAGTCAACCTCGGGGACTGTTTGTCCACCAATAGATACAAGGTTACAGTCAACCTCAGGTACTGATAGTCCACCAGCAGATACAAGGTTACAGCCAACCCCGGGAACTGATAGTCCACCAGTAGATACAAGGCTACAGCCAACTTCGGGTACTGATAGTCCACCAGTACATACAAGGTTACAGACAACCTCGGGTACTGATAGTCCACCAGTAGATGCAAGGTTACAGTCAACCTCGGGGACTGATTGTCCACCCGTAGATACAAGGTTACAGTCAACCTCGGGACTAATAGTCCACCAGTAGATACCAAGGTTACAGCCAACATCAGGGACTGATACTCGACCAGTACATACAAGGTTACGGTCAACCTCAGGAACTGATAGTCCACCAGTTGATACAAGGTTACAGCCAACCCCGGGAACTGATAGTCCACCAGTAGATACAAAGTTACAGTCAACCTCGGGAGATACAAGGTTACAGCCAACCTCGGGGACTGATAGCCCACCATTAGATACAAGGCTACAGTCAACCTCGGGGACTGTTTGTCCACCAGTAGATACAAGGTTACAGCCAACCTCGGGTACTGATAGTCCACCAGTTGATACAAGGTTACAGCCAACCCCGGGAACTGATAGTCCACCAGTAGATACAAGATTACAGCCAACCTAGGGTACTGATAATCCACCAGTAAATACAAGGTTACAGCCAACCTCGGGGACTGATAGCCCACCAGTAGATACAAGGTTACAGCCAACCTCGGGTACTGAAAGTCCAGCAGTAGATACAAGGTTACGGCCAGCCTCGGGGACTGCTAGTCCACAAATAGATACAAGGTTACGGCCAACCTCGGGTACTGATAGTCCACCATTAGATACAAGGTTACAGCCAACCTCGGGGACTTATAGTCCACCAGTAGATACAAGGTTACAGACAACCTCGGGACTAATAGTCCACCAGTAGATACCAAGGTTACAGCCAACATCAGGGACTGATACTCGACCAGTACATACAGGGTTACGGTCAGCCTCAGGAACTGATAGTCCACAAGTAGATACAAGGCTACAGTCAACCTCGTGGACTGATAGTCTACCAGTAGATACAAGGTTACAGCCAACCTCGGGGACTGATAGCCCACCATTAGATACAAGGCTACAGTCAACCTCGGGGACTGATAGCCCACCATTAGATACAAGGCTACAGTCAACCTCGGGGGCTGATAGTCCACCAGTAGATACAAGATTACAGCCAACCTAGGGTACTGATAATCCACCAGTAAATACAAGGTTACAGCCAACCTCGGGGACTAATAGTCCACCAGTAGATACAAGGCTACAGTCAACCTCGGGGGCTGATAGTCCACCAGTAGATACAAGATTACAGCCAACCTAGGGTACTGATAATCCACCA